CTTGTAGTAAATTGTTCCTGAGCGGTTCAGTTCTGCAGCTCTTATTATCTTCTCCAACATCAGATTAAAGAAGTCACATGAAAGGGAGTCGCCCTGTCTGAAACCCCGTTTTGTGGCGAACGGCTCGGAGAGGTCTTTTCCAATTCTGACGGAGCTGGTGCTATTACTCAACGTCATTTTACACAGCCGTATGAGTTTTGAGGGGATGCCAAATTCAGACATAGCGGCGTATAGGCAACTCCTTTTAGTGCTGTCAAAAGCGGCTTTAAAGTCGACAAATAGGTGGTGAGTGTCGATCCTTTTCTCGCGGGTCTTTTCCAAGATTTGGCGTATTGTGAATACCTGGTCTATGGTCTATTTGCCAGGTCTAAAGCCACACTGATAAGGCCCAATCAGTTCATTGACGGTGGGTTTCAGTCTTTCACACAATACGCTCGATAAGGCCTTGTAACCTATGCTTAGAAGGCTGATCCCGCGGTAGTTGGCGCGAATGGCAGGGTCACCTTTCTTGTGGATTGGGCAGAGCACACTTAAATTCCAGTCGTCGGGCATGCGTTCATCTGACCATATTCTGCACATGAGTTGATGCATGCACCTTATCAGCTCCTCGCCGCCGTACTGGAATAGCTCAGCTGGCAGCTCTCTGGTAAAATTTTCGGGCATTCCTCCTGTCGGCCAGCATTTCAAGCTCTTCGCACTCACGTATTTCTGCCTCTCTCTTCTTGTTGCGGCAAATACGTCTCGCTTCCCTCTTCAGATCCCTATAGTGGTCCCACATAGCGCGCGTTGCGCCCGATCGCAGCGTGGCCCTGTAGGCGGCATCTTTTTTCTCTGCAGCTTCCTGACACTCCTCATCGTACCAGTTGTTCTTTCGGGCTCGCTGAAATCCGACTACTTCTTCGGCGGCGGTACTTAATGAGCGGGAAATGTGGTTCCACTGCTCGCATATGTCGGTTTGTTGAAGAGTGCTCTCTGAGAGCAGGTGTGAGAGTCGAGTAGCGAAAGCGCTGGCTGTCTGTTGTGATTGCAGCTTTTCGACGTTAAGCTTTCCTTGAATATTTGGGCGCACATTTTTGCTGCACAGAGGCGGGTCCGTATCTTGGCTGCAACAAGATAGTGGTCCGATTCGATGTTTGGGCCTCGGAGTGTGCGTACGTTTAAAACACTGGAAGCGTGCCTTCCGCCCATCACAACAGGATCGATTTGGTTTCTCGTTTTTCGATCCGGAGACAGCCAGGTAGCTTGATGGATCTTTTTATGCTTGAACCTAGTATTGCATACTACCATGTTTCGGGCCACAGCGAAGTCGATCAGCCTCAATCCGTTGTCGGACGTTTCGTCGTGGA